GAGCTGCAAGGTCAGATGTGCAAATACAGGATGGATTGTTGCAGATAAAAATGGACTAAACCTTTGGGTTTTGTCTTGGCTTTCCTTGAGTGGTCTATCTTCTCTCTGAAATTTTTATATTTGCACTTAGTTTACTTTAGCAGACAACACTGAAAGGAGTATTTTGGAGGAATTCCATCTTTGTCCTGAATTATTAACTTGCCTGAAGAATGGCAAAGATAGAAAATCTGGGGGACAGAAACAGAAATCAAAACTACACCCAGAAATCAAAACTACCCAAGAAATGCTGCCTCATTTCCCTGGAAGGAACGTTGTTCAGTTTACTGTAAATCTGCTGATGATTCTGTGATCACAGTCAAAGGTCAACCCACTCTTGAAATACAATCAAGTTCTCTGAAATACAATCTCTTGGTTCATCTCATAAAACAAAAATACAGTGTGAAGACACTGAGGAGAATGGTTTACAAAAAATCTTACAACCGGAAAAGGTGAATTTTGGTGACATTTGAATCTTCACTGTGAGCAAACTGGATCCAGATTCCAGCCCAGAAATCTTAAAATGCAAAAGGAAAACAAGGGACAAGGTAAATGCTTTTAAACCCTGAACTAGGAATTGGTAAGACACAAGTCAAAACTCAAGTCCTGGGTTAATTTTTGGGGATGTGGGATATTACAGATCAGAATAAATGAATATAGCTGTGGTAGAAGAACCCCTTAAAAACGGTGCTTGATGTGCTAGGAAAGGGCTTGTAACCTAACAAAGGCATTCCCTAAAATAGAAAGCACAGCACCAACATAAAACACTCATCATGTTTTCAGTGCAAGGCAGGAATTTGCACTCCTAACCTCCCACGTTGGAGCTGGGGCTTGAATAGCATTTCTGTTCTCTCCTCAGCTGAGCTAATGACAGAGCTGAAGAAGTGTCAACACTGCAGCCGAAAACGCTCGGGGTGGCAGGAATGGTGTTCACAGGGGCCATGGGAGGCACAGCAAATGCTCTCCTCAAGGCTGCTCACTCCTGACTAAACTGTGTTTTCAGCAGGAAGAGCCAAAACCTTGCCCAGAGGCAGCGCAGTGCTCCAGATGAGTCCCATGCCTGCTCCAGCTACAGTGGGTGAGGTAATGCTCTCCCTGGCTCCTCTCTCCTCTCCTGTTGCCAGCCCTGCCTCAGGCTGGGATATTTGCTATTTATTTGTTATTTATTAGTTATTTTTTTATTTATTAGCTGTTTGCTATTTACTCCTTGTTATTTATTTATTTGCAGTTTGCTATTTTCTTAAATCAGGGGCCGACATCACCCATGTTGGAGGAATCCAGCCCAATTCCTGATGGCTCCATGTGTCGTTTTCATTCTTGGCAGGGAGAGTTTATCTTCTGTGACTTCACCTTCCATAAAGTTTGAGTGGAAGTCACCTAAACTGCCCGTGAGCTCCCTGGAGGGAGGTTGGCAGTGCTGTGCAGTTCCTCTGAGGTCCCTTGGACACCTGAGTTTGGGATGAATCACGCTCTGGAGAGGAAACGGCCTCAAGCTGAGCCAGGGGAGGCTGAGATTGGATAGTAGGAAAATTTTCTTCATGGGAAGGGTTATCAAGTGTTGGGACTGGCTGCCCAGGGAATGGTGAAGTCACCATCCCTGCAGAGATTTAAAAAACGTGTGGATGTGGGATGTGGGTGGTGGTGGGCTTGGCAGGGCTGGGGGAATGGGTGGTCTTGGAGGTCCTTTCCCATCTTCATAATTCTGTGACATGCCAATTTTTCTTCAGGGCTTGCAGAGACACTGATTTTTTCCAATCCATGTGTGAAATCTTAGCTTGGGATGGTGAAAATCAGGGTGACTGAGTGATGGGGCTCTCTGATGCAACCTTGTGGTTCTCTGACTGACAAAATCCTGATGAACATATGGAAACCACTCATCCCAAGGGCAGTGAGGGGAGAATGAGGGGAAAAAATTGGAAGTTTGATTATTTTATGATTTCTTCCCCATGTTTTGGTTCTCTGGACAGCATGTTCCAAAGCTGTGTTTTCCAGTTTCTATTCAGTGTTTGATATATCAACAGTCTGGAGGAATTTGGGATGCATTGTTCCAAGATGGAGCAGAGCTCAGCCCAAACTCTTGCAGTTATTTGAGTTTGGATTTTACTGTGTGAGCCCAGCCTAGGAAAAGCTTGCTACCTTTGTAGGAAATAGTTGGAAAAAGGACATTTCCCTGCCTTAGAGTGAAACACTGCTAAAATCTCACCTGTGGAACACAATATAAATTCATTAAACTAAGTCCTGTCTTAATTTTGGTGAGTGAGGTGGAGTTCCACAAACAAGTTGATGTTTTCAAGAGTTGATTGAGCCAGATATGATCTCTAGTGAAATTCTTAAATTTCAGACGGAGGGTGATGTTCCTACAAATTTGTCAGTTTTGTTACCTGGGCCATAACCTTAATTTTAGTTTTAAAACTTTGCCAAGGGTCCCAAACTTGAGTCAGAAACTGGTACCATGCCTATATTTGCAAACAAACATAAGAACCAAAATGTTCTGTTTCTGCCCTTTTAGTGCTTTTAATTTTGTTCATTATTAAATATTTTAATTGCCTTTTCTTCAGTGAACTTCAAAGTTCAATTACGAATGAAACCAACAATTTTTTTTCCACAAGAAAAGTATTAAATGAAACTTGTCCCTGTTTTTCCATAATTATTTCAAGTGTTGATCAGCTGATCTCTTTCCAGAAAGGAAAAGAGACAAGAAGTCCTCTAAAATATCCACAAGGAATACCCACTGATACAAGCATTTGTTAATGTGAGGAAAAATATTATTATTTTTTTCAAAAATATTGCAGGCATTTCTTATTTCTGAGAATTTACTTCTGCTTACGGAAAACAAAGAAGAGAAATTCCAACTGGTGCATGGAGGCATCAGGTGTTGGCTATGAAGCTTTTGCCAGGCAGGGACAGATTTTTAAAAGGTCTTGGACTCCACGTAAGGGAAATGAGATTTTAATCAGATTTCACCCAGGTGTCCAAAAAAGGGGATTTATTTCTAAATCACCAGTGACCTGTGGCTACTTCTTTGCAAATCCAGTTGTTATTCCCAGTGGGAGCTCCTGTTTCTCAACAGGGCTGAAATCCAGGCTCTTCCCATTTGGAAATCAAAGGGAGCCCTTTGTGCTTCTGAAATTCCAGCCCTGGCCAAGTGCTCTGCAGCCAAGAACAAAAGTTAAGTGAACTCAGAAAGAACAAGTCATCAGCCTGACCTTTGGTCATCAGAAAAATGTAAAACATCTTCGAGTCATTCCCCAAATCCAAGTCAGGTTTCATCTGTGCCGAACATTCGGTGCAATGAGTGGGAATTTCACAGATTTCACAAATTAGCCAGCCCGAAGTCACTGCTGGCAGGGGGGTCTCTGGGTGATGTGTACTTGACAGTGTGTGAAGGCCAGAATCCATCATTCCAACCTGGTGGGAAGAGATTTTAAAGGTTTTTAAATTTGGTTTGAGTTTGGTCTTTTGTTGTTGTGGGGTTTTTAGTGGGGGTGTTGTGGTTTGGAGTTTTTATTTTTTTTCAGTTTGTTTTGTTCTTTTTCTTGTTTGTTTAAATTGTTGTAAAGGATTTTTTCCAGCCTAGTGACTGGAGCTTGCAAAAGGTTCTATTTACTCCAAAGGGTTGTTATGTAAGAGCTAACCTCATTGTTCTAAAGCAAAATGAGTAAATGATAAATGAACGTGTTTGGCAGCAGTAAAGCCAAATAAGTTTGTCTGGAGAGAAAGGAGGTGAAGGTCCTGATATTTTTTTGGTTTTTTTCTCCTCTCCATCCTCCTGTGTGATGGGTGATGCTCTCCCATGTCCATCAGGTCACTGTCCATCATTGGACTTCAGAAATTTCTTAAATTATTTTTATTTGTGAATAATCATTACACAGACAGAATCTTTTTGGGAGGGAACAGCTGGAAGAACAAGGAGACCCTCACAGTGGAGGTCACAACTTGTAGAAATGTAATATTCATTGCAAAAAGAAATACCTGAAAATGGAAAGAAGCTTTTTGCTGTTTAGTGCATCGCAAATATCAAACTGCACCCAGGAAAGGAGGGAGATGATTTAATAACATTTGCTCTAGATAACTTTGAAATGTAATTACATGTTAAGGATATGATTTCACACTGCTTATAATGTTAGAAGCACACTGTTTCTAATTATACATTACCCAGAAAAGGGCCTTGCTGCCTTCTGTCATTAAATTATTGTTTTTATCCCGACACCACCTGTCCAGGTAGGTAATATTATGGCTAGTGTTGCTTCTGAGAACCCCCGGATCATTGATGGATTTATGCTCACTGCATAAAAACCCTTTTCCTGAACCCTGCACGTTGACAAAAATATAATTATTGCTGCATTTCAGACAGAGGAAATTTCGCAACAGTGGTAAGGGATTTTCAGTGGCTTTCTATGAATAAAAGAAGAAAACTTCTGTTCCAAAAATCCATTTAGTGGCTTCTGCCTCACCATTTTGCATACCAACAAGTCCTTCATTAAGTTTCAGTCTCTCAGACACCTCTCCCCATATGCAGCACTGAGTTCCTTTCCATTAAAATCAGCCTCCAGAGATGGATGTGCAGCTTCCATGGCTTGCAAACATCTCCTCCCATCACTTACCTCGCCAAAGAAATGTTATTTCTGACGCCCTGCCCACAGTACTTTGTGTTCTCTCTTAATCAATCAAAGTGTCCTTATCTTTGCGGCACTTCATCTTGTCTAACAAGCGTTCCCAAGAGCACCTGAATTTTATTTCTAGGAATAAATGTGTTGTCTTATTGGTTCCATGTGTTCTTCAGAGCCTGCCCTGTGCCCTCATGCAGGAGACTCCACATTGATTCATTCCCAGAGCTCGAACTTTGAACGCTCGTATTATTTTTATTAAACTTAACTGTGGCTCTTTCTCCCTTCTCCCCTTTCCCCTGCACCCTCCAGCAATATCCAGCCCCTGAGTCAAAGCAGGAATCAATGGAAGACACATTGAAAAGAAGATTATGTCCATGTGGAGGAGGATTGGTGTCCATTTCCAAAGTGGGAAGATTGAGTTGTGCCAGTTTTGCCTTTGATTATCCACCTAAGGTGCCTGTGCAGGTGAGTGAATGCCTGAGCACCCAAGGAAGGCACTCTGGGAAGTGTCTCAGCACAAAGTGTTGGCCAATCTCACAAACCCCTACCCAAATCCATCCTTTCTGTGGCCAGGGGAGGATCTGAGTCCTCTTCCCCCCTTCCTGGCTGCTCTGTCAGCTTGGATCATGGCAATAAGAAACCAATTGGAGATTCCTGGCTCTTGGCTGGGCCACTGTCCCTTCATCGTCCCTTCACAGTGAGCTCAGGAGATGTGAGGCCACCTCTGGGTGAGTTTGGTTTCTCCTGATTTTGATAAAACTCAGCCCCAGCCTTGAGCAGGTCCCAGCTGAATTGCAGCTGTGGCTCAGAAAGGGATGTAAGAAAGCAGGGGGAGGAAAAAGACGAAACTGCCCAAACCTCAGCAAGGTTTTGTCCATCTTCAGGGCTGCTTTTGTGCTGGAGTGGTTTGGAGCAGGGTGCTGACATCTGTTTGGAACAAATGCCACATTCTGTCCCTCCAGCTCCACCCTCCACAAGTCAGTCCTGATTATCAGTGTGGATGTGGTGCTGAAATCTGGTCCTGAGCTACGAAATTTGCTCTATAACCCTTTGTCATTCCCAGAATGAAAATTGTCCAAGCACATCCTCATCCCACAACTTTGCTTGGAAATCATCCTCAACCCTCACATCGTTCTGAGGGACGGAAAACATTGAGAGATCTCTAAAGCCAACAAGATCAGGCCAGGAGCCCAGATTTCTCCTCTCTGAGCCACAGCTGCCCAAAATCTTGATAAATACCAAAATGGCTATTTTAATGGTAAGAAATCCATTTTAAAAAACCAAAAACACCCCCCCCAAAAAAAAAAAAAAAAAAAAACAAAACCAAAAACCTAGAATTGTAGAAATGTGAAAAACCTTGCTGTAATAGTAACAGAGTGCTGACAATCAGGCAGGATGGTGCCCACAGCTCAGTTTAAAAAAAAAACCAACTGATTAATGGGCATAATCAAGCCTGACATTGAGTAAGAGGCAAGAACAAGTAATCAGATCCCAACTTAGCTGATGCTGGCATTACTGAGAGCCTGGGGCACAGTCCAAGGATAAAAACATAATGTCTTATCTAAGCAAGGAGTCATTTGTGCACCACTGGTTACAACACGTCCTTAAAAAGGGAAAGAAGGGAAAGGAAAATATGGCACATGAAATTATTTTATTTCCCAGAAACGATAAGAAAGTAAAGCTAAAAGTTTCTACACCCAATCTTTATAGAGGAAAAGCCTATCTAGAGTTAACCCCTTGCAATGTCCACCGTAAAGCCCCAGGATATGGAAAAGGATATTAAAACAAAAAGTGAAATGGGGGTTAAATCAAATTAGTATAATGAAAACAGTTAAAAATTCAGATTTTTGAATATTTCTTGCAATTTGGAGATTGCTGGGATCCTTGGGGCCAGCCTGCTCCTCGGTTCAGTGAGAGTTCAGGCAGTCTGGCAGTCCCATCCTTTTGGCCAAGACTCCTTTTCTGGCAACACGACTCCCTGTTTCTCAAGAACTCTTCTTTTCCTCCAGATTCAACAGGATGTTGACCTGGATCTCTCAGAACAGCTCATGGAGAGGAAAGACCCTCTGACACAAAAACCACGTCACTGGAGAGGGAACTGTAGTGTCAGGGAGGGCATCTGGAAGATCAAAGTGGGAATAAACCAATCACTCCAGGCTGTATGGCTTTGCATTGCTGAGTTTTATTTCCAGCCTTTTGAAGCACAACTCATGAGCCTTAACAAGGAAAGAACTTTTGTGTAAAATTCAGTAAACGAAAAAAGCTGGTTTGCGTAAAATTCAGTAAATTAAAATTAAAAAAAAAAAAATCCAGACCAAACACCATGGGCCTGTGGGGGAAAAACTGGAATTTAATTTCTGTACTACAGACCTTTCCCGGAAAAGCCAGGCATGGGCCAGCATGAAATGCAACCCCACACATCTGTGGGGGATTCTGCCCGGTCCGCCCAGCCTTTTCCATTTCCATCATTTGCCATCTTTGGAACCTTCCACGATGGCAACTCACCAGCAGAGCCCAGCTCTTTCCCAGAGGGAGCTCTGGGACACTGGGGCTGCCTAGAGTCGGGAGGAAGACACAGGTGAGAGGGATGGAGGGTGGTGGGTGGAAGTCACCTCCTCCACCTCCTGTTTTTGGAGGTGTACATGCTTTTCCATGTGTACAGCTGGAATGAAGCCTCATTTTCCCCTTCCAGCAGCAACTCAAGGCGTGAGCACTGTGGTGTCTCACAGAAATGACTCAGGTTCTCAATGCTGACCTGCCTTAATGGTCCTCATTCGGTGGGACATTGATTTATTGTCCTCACGAGCCTCAAGTGACACCGTTTGCTCTTTCCCTAAGCCTGGTAGGCCAGCAAGGTGACAACTGGTGACTGGATGTGACCACTCTGCCCTGGGAGAGTGACACATGTGTGCGACGGCCTCTCCTCAGCCCTTCTCAAAATGTTTGTGCAGGAGCAGCCATAAATGCTGCTGTATTGACCCGAAGATGCAATCCAAGGCGTTTGAGCCTGGGCCTTATCTGCATCACCTTATCAGGAGCCAGAGAGCGAGATGCACCCCGGGAAGGGAGGGGTCTGTGCCAGAGGGTTTGGCCTCGTTCCTTCTCTTCTGGCACGGGGAGGGACTGCGGGCAGAGCTGGGTAATGATTTGTCACCGCCAGGAGCGGGGTGTCTCTCTCTGCAGAGGAAACCTTGGCCGTGATTGACAGCGGGGCCGTTTCTGCCACTTCCCTCGCTGTTGTCAAGTAATAATGAAGCTTTGTCAGTCCATCATGGACATGGATATGCCTGATTATGTCGACTCCTTGGACTCCTCTTACACCATGCTGGAATTCGACAACCTCCGTGTGCTCCCCAGCAACACCGGTGAGGTTTTTATTCATTTTCTCTTGAATAAGCTCCGCTAGTTTTTCTGTAAAGCTGGACACAGAGGAAAGGCTGGTGGCAGGTATGGAGCAAAGGGTAGAAGGGGTAATATTTAAGCAGCTGATCTGTCAACCTCTGTTGCATCCATGTTGATGTTTGTGTTAAAATGCGACCCCTTCACTTGCTGGTCCCGTTTTGGGTTATTCTTTTGGGTTATTCTTTTCGTTGGCGGGCTGAGCGTCATGCCTTGAAGAGCCCACCAGGTTTTGCAGGTGTTGGTAGATGTCTTCATGGCATTCTCTGGGTTTATCCTGCTCTATTGCTCAGGAGGGGAGTTATTACCAATATTTCTCGTTCAAATGTGTGTTTCATTCCCATCTACGACCTCAGCTGATATTTAATCCTTGGGAAAACGTGTCGTCCCAAACGGCGTTTGTCCATGACCGTGTGCCTTGTTTAAGTTGGTCCTGGGAACTTGAATTGAGAAACAATATCCAAATCATTGCTAGCTTTGCATTCCTTTTCTGGCTACCAAGTTGGTCCAACAGTTTTTAGGGCACAAAGGACTTGGCTGGGAGGCGGGAGTGTTTATACGCCGAGACTTCCGCTTGGTTCGTAGGAATAAAGCACTTTGTGTGGGATTCAATTTTTCTGCACTCAGAAGTGCCCTGACATCAAATGAACTCCATCCTGTGAAATCAACTGCTCACTGTGTAAAAATAAAGGGCATTTTGGTCATCTTGCATGAAACCAATCATGCAACTGAATGAGATTCTGGCGTGTAGCAATCCCTTTGGAGAGTTTTGGCAGGCTTTTAATTTACTAAGAAGCTTAGTGAAATTAAGATGGGATTTTCACATTTGCTCATTAACTGGCTCATCAAAAGAAATCAGAGTTTCAGTAGGGATATCACCTACAATATAAAATGATTAGACATATTATTGTAGGGCCTGGAGGGAGGTCAGGAGACAAGTAAAGTTAAAAGGCCCAAAGGAACCTGAATTTTAAACTGCCTTCTGTAAAGCTCTGGCTGTCCGCAAATCAAGGTTTTTCAATATATATAATTTTTGTAAGCTCCAGCTAGACTGGATCTTATTTTTGCAGAAAGCTTTCCACCTCCCATCCTACTCCAGAAATGTCATTTAACACAGATGTTTTGCTTTGTCACTTCCCGTTGAACAACAGGATATTTCTCACTTTTTGAAGCGGCACAAATTTCCCCAGAATTCAATATAATTTTGTAAACCAACCACCAAAGTCTGTTTGGGCTCTCTGTTGATTCACGCAGTAGAACTGACAGGTTGAGTTTTTTTCTGAACTTTATCGAACTCGGTGTTGTGTTATTTGTTTAGCTGTTAATGACTAACCAGCTCTCTCGGGAAGTAGCTGCTTTGAAATTAGCTTGTTTGTCTTGGGTAAGTGTCCTTCTCTACCATTTGTAAAAATAACTTCAAAAAATACATGAAATGGCCATGCATGGAAATCTATTGCTGTCCAGCTGAGTTCCGTCCCCTGAGGTAATTCAGAATCACAGTTTCCTTGTGGCTTCAGAAATTTTTTAGAATTTCTTAGAATCAAGAAACAACCTCATTTTAGGTACCTTTTATAACTATACTGGATTTTTTTTAAAGATTTCTTGTATCTCTCCTAAGGTTCATCTGTATTTTCCCTACTAGATGATGACAGCTTTGCCCTCTATAAACATGAACAGGAAAGGATGAAATATTTATTTTGGTGAACTCAGTGCAGTTTCTTATTGTCTGAACAATTCCAAAAGTGAAAATTGGAATATTTTCAAATAAGGTCATGCTTTCTTGAAACCAACTCTTTCCTTCTTCAGAACATCATTTCATCAAAATTTTGGGTGGAAAAATTTTGTGGAGCACTTCCTGTGCTTAGATGTTCCTTCTTCATGAAGCTGCTATCATTCTGAGATTTGCCCAGATATGTATTTTGGATTTTCCACCTTCAAATAGCTCATAATTTGCCAAATATTTTAAGATTAATTCAGAATAAAGAATAGAACACTTTATGGGAGGGATAGATGAAATAAGTATGGTTTAAATAGAAAGAATGGCAACAGGAAAGGAGCAAAAATCACTGCTAATTCTGTCTTTCCTTCATGAAATATGTGTTGTAGCAGCAGAAATTTTCCCATTCTGTACAAATTTGTTTCCTTCACCTTGGCTGGCAGCACAACCCATATCCTCAGTTTTTATGTGTGGTTAATGGCCATTCCCTCACACTCCTGTCAGAAATGTCTCATTTTGGTGAAGATGTGAATCATTGCTGCAATGCAGCCCCAATTCTTCCCTGGAGAGCTGGGGAGCGCTTTCTGCCAGGGTGGTGCTCGCTGTCCTCAGCCCCACACTCCACGCTGATCCTTGGGACCCTGGCACGAGGTTGGTGAAATCTTTCCCAGTTGGACCCAGTTCAGAGCGTGCAAAAGCCACCAGAGATGTTTTGGGCAGTGATTTCCCATCCCTCGAGCTTCCAGTGCCTGGAACAGCACCTTCATCATCGCTCCTCTAGGATTTGGGGTCACTAAATCACAGCTAGGTTTTATATCTCAAAAACTCCTCTATTTGCTGAAAGCTGATGTAGAAAGAGGCTGCCCTGCACGTGGCCAGGGTTTAAACCCCCTCCTGCCCTACATTTGTGTGTACAGGTTTCACAATGCTGCCTTTGGCACCGAGCTTCCCTGTGTGTGTTCAAGCCCCAAACCCACATTTGTGATCTCCTCACATTTTAGTCCAGCACATGTAATTTGGGGATTTGTTAACTGCAAATTATGTGCACCAAAACTTGGATTTCCTGGTAGATAAAGGCCACCCTGGAAAGTATTGCAAGAGAATTCTCTTTTACAATGTGGATCTAGAAGAGCTGTAGCCAGTAAAGGAACTGAAAGGAAAAGCAGTGCAGGAGTCAGGTATGAGGAGAACATCCTCAGTGTCATTTCTTATCACTGTAAAACTGGCATTATCATCTCAGCCCTGGAAAGACAATGATTAACATACAGAGGTACCAAAAAACTTGTGTGCATTTCAGTTGTGAACTTGGCTGATCCCAAATCTGGGGAAGCCACTGGGTGCTCTTCTCAGCCTCAGGGAGCTCCCAGTCTGCACACTGATTGTATATAATTCCAAAAAATTGTAATAACATTATATATATATATATATATATATATATATATATATATATATATATATATATATATATATATATATATATATATATATATATATATATATATATAAAATATTTTTAATATATTTTAATTATATATAACTCAAAAAAATGATATATAACTCAAAAGAACAGCTTCAGATATTTCTGCCAGTGAAGTTGAGGGCAGCCCCAGTGAGGGGTCTGGCCACAAGCAGAGCCTGGGAGCCACACAAAGTCAGGATGAGTTATGGTCTCTTCCTGGAGAACAAAATCAAGTGCATCTCTGCAGTGGAGATTTCAAAGGTGCCGTGGCACAGCACAGGAGCTGTTCAGGTCATCTCCCTGTGGCAGGCAGGGATGGAGCACAGAAAGCAGATTTCACAGGCAGATTTCACAGGGGACTGTGCTGCCAGGGATCCTGGTCTTTCCTCACAGAGATCAGCCCAGGAAAAACCCAAATATTGGGGAGGTTTGAAAGCTGTGCTGAGAGAGTCTCCTGGTGCCTTTGCTCTTCTCTGAGCTAATTCTCATTTGGAGCCCATCATTAGCTGGTGGCAGGATTTTGTAATTAAAAATCGTGATCATAATTAACGTGTGTTCTGGATTAGGGCTTTCCTTTTATCTGTTAA